TGTGTGTGTGTGTGTGTGTGTGGCTTCTCAGTCAGAGCCACTGCAGCTTTGTTTTTAACTCAGGCCACGTGATTTCTCACAACATCCTCCTCCCATACGGTGAATTTGTACCTATTATTTGTATCGTATTACTCATTTTAATGTAACCCGATATAGCAATGCACAATCGTACATGTCTGCTTCTACAGTTGCATCTGTAGTAGCTGATCAGCAGGCAACCTTTTCATGAGAGAATCTGGTGTTTGTAGCTCCCCCTTGTGGTTGTGTTTGTTTTAAGCGCTGGCTTAAAATGTAATCCCAGTAATTGTTCATTTTAAATTATATCTAAAAAAAAAAAAAAACATAACTGTGATGAAATATCTTTATATTCTGAGCATGTACTGTCTAATATGGATTCCTTGGACTCACTGCCAGAGATTTTTTTGGAATCCCCAAACAAACAAAGGGAAAAGGAAAAGGTGCTGTCTCCTAGCAACAGCTGGGAACCCAGTGCCCACTGTCCTTCCCCCATGTCTGATACCCGTTCCTTCTAAATGTGTGCACCCATGCATGTGCATTTGCAGACATGTCAGAAGAAAGAAATGTGCCGTTTTCTTCCTCTGACAGGAGTAACTCTTTTCCCTCTTATTGCAGGAGTCGGGCGAAACCATTCCCCTGATGGTTGAGAGCTGCATCCGCTTCATCAGTCGCCATGGTGAGGAAATTCTGCGGTGAAGTGATAGGTTTAGGATCAGCTTTTTTCTCTCTGCTGATTGGTTAAACTACTACAAATGCGATTGGTTCTGGATCTCTTTGAACTGGAAAAAATGTATCAGAATTCTTCTCTCTAATTTCAGATTTGTGAATCTCTGAAATTGAACAAGGGAATTGATATTGACTTGTGTGTGGTTGTGAATGTGTGTAGGTCTGCAGCATGAGGGAATCTTCAGAGTGTCAGGCTCACAAGTGGAAGTCAATGACATCAAGAATGCTTTTGAGAGAGGTAACACTGTCCTGCAGGAAAAACAAGCATTTCCCCTCTGTTGTGTTTATCTAGCGCGTTATTATCCGTTGTGTCCCACGGTCCCTCCTCTTCTCATCCGGTGTAGGTGAGGACCCGCTCGCAGGGGACCAAAATGACCATGACATGGACTCAATTGCTGGTGTGCTCAAGCTTTACTTTAGAGGCCTGGATCACGCCCTCTTCCCTAAAGAAGTCTTCCATGACCTCATATCCTGTGTCTGTAAGTGTTACTTCCTTTTGCCTGTTTGTGTGTTTATGAATTTGAGAGTGTGAGTAATCTCATGGGGGTTCATTTTCATTTTCAGCAATGGAGAGCCTCACAGAGCGGGCAGTTCATATTAAGAAGGTTTTGCAGTCCCTACCAAGTAAAACCCTCATCGTCATGAGATACCTTTTTGCCTTCCTCAACCAGTGAGTACCAGAGCGCTCAGAGGCCAGATGTTTGGGATTAAGCTATAGATGTATCACTAACTACAATTTTGAACATAGATGGTGTGTATTAATGTGGTAGCACAGTCTAGTGTAACGCTTTGTTGGGAAACATACTGGGCCACACCTTTTAATCTTTGAATTCAGGTGTTTTCACTTCCTGTGTCGCACATAACCTGCTCCTGCTCTTTGACACAGTAGGAACAGTGGATTCACTAATCTTAAAACAAACAGCACAAAAGTAGGCATGCAAACCTATCACACAGCTACTGCTAATAATTAAATGTCATCAAACTGTTGATTTGGACAACAGAGTTCAAAATGTATGTATAAAAATGTAAGTAATTCACTGAATCTTCATTCATGAAGAAATATACTTTCAGTATCAATCAATGTAGAAAGAGTCCACAGAGCAGAAGTCTAAAGGAAGTATGGTTAAAAACAATATCTACTACATAAAATCTAAAACTTGCTTAACCACGTGTAAAGGTCACTATAAGCAGCCCTATTCTGATCCACTTGACCTATACTTTTTTCCTGGGCCCCCTTTTGTTTTACAAGAAAAGTGTTTGCTCCCCCCCCACACACACAAACACATCCTCCAACCACACACGCCCATATTTTGTTTTCAAACTTCATTGCGGTTTATTTCACACCTCAAACATTTAGTAAACAATTAAGCAAATACAAGTAAACTGCAATAAATTACAGGCAGCAATATAATAAACTAACTCTTTTAGACTACGTCCGCACCTACACGGGTATTTTTGAAAACACAGCTGTTTCGTCCGCACGTAAACGGCGTTTCGAATCACCGAAAACTGAGATTTTTTTTAAAACTCCTTTTTTGCGTTTACGTGTGGACGAGGAAGACAGAGTTCGTCACGCAACGTTAAAGGTATGTGCCTTTGATCATGTCACGCTGTGCGCACGTTATTGTTTACATGAGATGAATTGCAGAATGATAGAGACAAAATACTGTTAATCTGACTGTCTTCAGGTTTTACACGCTTACATACACACACGCAGTTGCTGTCCCTCTATTTAGAAAGGCAGAGGCGTTGCGGTGTGATTATTTTACATGTAGTTGCTTTTTTCCTGTGTAATAATATTCAACATTGCTATCAATACATTTCTCAAAAAATGCCTCTCTGTGCAAAATGGGTTTAAAAACATAAACAGCTGTGGGATACTGTTTGTCCGTGATTTGAACCGGGGGAACAAATCGTGGCAGGATCAGCCTGATGTTATTTGTATCCCGCTGTAACTTTAATGTATAAAGAGCTAACATCTCCAAAATGTCAGGAGTAGTTATTTATTACAAGAAGTGTAATAAATCACTTCTTGTAATAGTTTGTAATTACAAATCACGGACTGTTTGTCCGTGATTTGGAGAGCCCAGCGCTGCTCCCGATGCAAGGGAAACTAATTCTGTCGCAGAGACCTACCTCGGCAAAGGAAAGATATGCTTCACCATATCTTCTAGTCTTTGGCTTGGAATGAAGTTGGTTTGGAAACATATTCGGCGATGCTTCATCTCCAGCTTTGCGTTTGAGTGGGAGCCCCGTCACAAAACCAGTCAATGATGTCCAAGGGTTCTTTTTTTTTGTTTTTTTTGTTTGTTTTTTTTGCGGGCCCCACACTTTGGGAATCTCTGACCTATAGTCACTTGATTATTTGGTAAACATCCGATTTTATATGGCCATCTCACACAGAATCAAAACATCCTTCAACTTTCATGGAAAGTCAAGTTCGGGGTCATAAAAGTCCACAAAAGAAACTATAACAAGCCCTTTATTACTCAAGAAACTGTAAGCCTTCCTCTCTGTGAAATTAATTAATTTCCTCCATTGAGTTTATTTTAGTAGTTCAATATTCTGAAATGGACTCAGTTTCATCACACGAGCCAAAAATCCAATCTCTTTAAAAAAAAAAAAGTGAAGGGCAAACAAAAAAGCTTTTTTAACAAAGGTACTAATCTTGTATCAGTTCAAAGAAATATTAAACTAAGAGCAAGACCACAAAAAAACTGTCTGAGTGCATGTACGGCACGCAGAGACGCAATCCATTCTGTCCAGTCCGTCCTTAAAAGCCGTGACTAAACCCTTCAGTTAAAGGGAGAAAGGGTAAAAAGCAATATGGTGTGGGAGACGTGACATTTGAGCCTCATGGGTAAACCAAGTGGTCCCAGACAGCTCATGTGGAGAAGGGGAGTTTCTTTTACGTGAGTGATTTACAGTCACCCCCTAAACTCCTGCTTCTTCGCACTCACTGAAACGCGCACACACATCGTCGGAGTCTCTCCATCACCAGGTTATAAATGACTTGTCATGGTTGTTTGGGTTTATATGTTGAGACTCTGCTTTCTCTTCTGCCCAGCCTGTCTCAGTACAGCGAGGAAAACATGATGGACCCCTACAACCTGGCAATCTGTTTTGGCCCCACCCTGATGTCTGTCCCAGAGGGTCATGACCAGGTTTCTTGCCAGGCCCATGTCAACGAACTCATTAAAACTATCATCATCCACCATGACACCATCTTTCCTGGACCGCAAGACCTGCAAGGCCCCATCTACACTATTCCTGGAGTTGGAGATGACTTCTGGTGAGGCTTGGGGAAGAAACCCCATAAATCACAATGGGATGAAACTTAAATTGCTAAAGCTTCTTGAAGCTAACTGGATATATCTTCCAATTGTTTTTCAAACTGCTGTAGAAGGGACTTAGAGATGATGAGTAGGCCAGAAATGGGGAGTGGGGGTTGATTTAGAGGCTGCCGGGGAGTGATGGAGGCTCAGCTTGTCTGCCCTACTCTGGGTAAGGGGCCACGAGGATCAGCTTACCCTCTGTCACACTAAAGATTAAAGCCCCGCCTAACCACAGAGCACAGCGTGTACACACTCACACACCACAACGCACACAATGGTTACTTTCAGTTTTACTATAATGACAAGCCCGGGCACCAGTTATTATGATTGCTGGCAGTCATTCCGGTTGTACAGACTGTATGTCACACAAAGTATGGTGACTACATTCACGCTAGCATATGCTAACTTTATTTGACTTGATGTCATTCCAGCAGTCTGTGTTTTTCTGTTACATTCAATTCACCAACCTTCCAAAACAAATTTGTTTTTGATGGCAGGCAGCTCAGAATGGGTGAACACCACGTTAAGCACTATGTAGAACCTGTCTAACCTTAAAAGGCTCTATATAACTGCAGACCACAACTTGGTCTGCAGTTATAACTTGGTGCAGGATTTTGAGCTCAGATTGTGAGTTATCAGAGAAGTATGGCATCCTCTAACTCCTGCTGCCCTCCATTTACTGTAGTGACAGTCAACACTGTGAGCCCCCTCTTGTGGAAGAGCCAGCACCTGACACTGTCTCTGTCAGCCATAACAGCGAAGATGGTAAGTAACATACAAAATTAACTACATGCACTGTATGTGCTTTATATACTGGCTTGTTTTTCATTAGTTTAGGACATCTCATGCTTTCCTAACCATTTACTGTGGCTTAAATTTTTTTGTGCAAGCTCACATCTTGCTCCCATTAATCTGTTTTGTTATTGCGCAGCAATTTTTAACGTGATTGCAGTCACTGAATGAAACAGCACTAACCTGCCATGCGCTAATCAGGCTTCCTCTCTCCTACACCTCTCTATTCCCTCATTTTTGCGGCTCCTCTGCTCCTCTGCCACGTCCCCTGTCTCTCCGCCGTTCTCTGAATCTCAGGCTCCTTGGCTGTTTCAGAGTCTGATCCAATCGAAGCCATCGCTAGGTTTGATTATACAGGCCGGACCGGTCGGGAGCTGTCATTCAAGAAAGGTGCCTCTCTGCTTCTGTACCACCGAGCCTCTGATGACTGGTGGGAGGGACGACACAATGGAGTGGATGGACTGGTGCCACACCAGTATATTGTGGTCCAAGACACGTAAGATCTGTTCTAGTAATTAATCTCAATATAAGCGTCATACATTTTAAGAGGCTGACTTTTGTATTCATTAAATTAGATGTTACTTTAAAATTTTTGTCTGATATGAATGTTGGTTATAATAATAATATTTTACCCAGAGAACAAAGAGGCCTCTGTCAAAAGCATAAACTGGAATGATGTCAAACACTGACCATGAGTAAATACAGAAACTAGTCCAGTGGAAATCCCCGTTGCTAAGGAAGTGCAGTCATACAGACTGCATATCATAGCAGATCAATTTCCTCTTCAGCTTAGCCTCTTGTTTAAACAAGCATGCAGAGTGGCTTGTTGCGTTAGTGTAAGGATTTTCCCTCCCTGCTACCCAAGCACAAAAATCTGAACCTCATGTTCACTTTGCTGTTGCTAACTGTTCTGCAACTGCATTGCAAATGACTACAATGAGATCTGGGATTTATACAGAGAAATACCTTATTTCTTTTGTACAAGTATAAATGTAAGAGTAGGTCAAGGCAGATTTATATTATTTATTTAATGCAGCTAAGACTGTTTTTTTTTTTTTTGACTGCTCGTGGTTCGCGTGGAAGTAAAGAGCAGCTGCTATATAGCTTTAAAATAAGCTTTTTCTTGCAGATGTGTCAGTGTGCGTTATATTCTCTGCTTTGTAGGTTTGATGCAAGGCAGAGGCAGAGCGGGAGTAACGCGATTTTGCTGTGTTTCTTTTTTCCCTCCAGGTCTGATGTGGGGCGAGGAAGTCCAAAGCCGGACTTGGACAGCAGGGATCTGCTGGAGGATAGAGTACCCACTCGAGTCAGTGCTGCCTCTCCTACAGGAGCTCATGTAGCTGACATCTATCTGGCCAACCTGAACAAGTGTGTATCGTGTGCAGATATGTCTCAAAATATATACGTTTATATACGCTCCATGAACATTTCCTAATGATTCACAATAGTATAGAAAAGAAATGAGTAAAACATTTGTGTTATTCAGGCTGAGGAAACGGCCGGAGCCTGGGAACATCAGAAGAACGCTCCGCTCAGAGAGCGACAGCACAAGTCCAGGAACCAGCGGAGGCGGGGGAGGAGGAGTGAGGACCGCTTCTCTTCCTGTTGGCGGCGCTCTTGTAAAAGAAACCGGGGACAAGCGACCCGTGAGCGCTCATAGCATCCTCAACTCAGTTACTCGCCACTCCTCACTCAAGACCAAGGTACTGTAACTGGATCTCCTTTTGTATGCAGACATGGAGTGACTGCACTATTGCTGTCTGGGAAAACATTTAATTGAGGCCATTGTGCCGCTTTTAGGTGGAGAGTCCACAGTTGCGGAAGACGACTACAGCAGGGCGCTCCAAGAGCTTCAGCAACCACAGACCACTGGACCCTGAAGTCATAGCCCAGGTGGATCCCCTCTCACAGGTACTGCTTTCATTTCAGCTTCAAGTTTAAACATCTGGAACATTTCAGCTTTCTGTCTGTGTGTGTTTACTTTATGTCTGATTCCTTCATTACAGGACATTGAAACAACCTTAAATGAGTTCAGTAAGTTGGAAAGACAGAGCACCCCGAAACATACACATACCCCTGACGTGGTGCTGGACACCCTGGAGCAGCTGAAAAGCGGAGGAGGAGCTTCAGAGCCCTCTAGTCCACTCCACTCCCGTCTGCTGCGGGACAATGAGGGAGGCTCACACGCCCATTCACTCCAGCGCAGCGCCTCCTCAGCTAGCGACGTGCCCTCCTCCTTCCGCCCTGCCAAGAGCCAGCCACGGAGCCCCCTGCCCTCTGCCACGTCCCCGTCTTTGTCCACCTCTCACTCCTCATCCCTATCTTCCTTCAGAGAGTCGCGCCCGCCAGCAACAAGGCCCAAGCCGGTGGTGTTCCCAAAGGGTGGAGGAGGTAGCGGCAGTCCAGCAATGGGCTCCCCAACCTCCACTGTTCCCCCTACGCCTCCTCCTCCACCTGCAGGCCACACACACTCTCTCCCCCACACGCCTCCCCCTCCCCCTCCATCCCAGTCTAATGATAAATCTTGCCCTGCTTAAGTCCCAAAATGGAAATCCTGATTCTTGCAAACTCTTAAGATTCTTGCAGCTCTTCTGTCAGGTGCCAAAAGCGCTTCGCTTGTTACACATAGGACCCGTAACCCAATTCTCACATGTAGCATTCACTACTTGGAGACCAGATGAGTTCCTTATGATGCCATGTTCAATTTAGTGTCAAGTTTTTAATCTGCCCTCTCCTGCCAGCTCTGCTTTACTACAGCTCAACTATCACTGATAAAGCAAAAGACACTTCTTCTCTCTTTTTTTCCTTCTTGCCACCACAGAGATTCCAGACTTTGCTGGATTTTCCAATCTTGTACAGGGGAGCAGGACTCAGGGTGGACTCATACAGGCCCTGGAGCTTGCATACACTAGTTTGCGTTGTATGAAATTCCATTTGAGTGGGCGTGCAAGAGTGTTACTTGCCTTTTATACACAGATTTATGTGAGGAATAAAAAGCACTGTTTTTTTAATTTGTTTGGTTTTTTGTATAGTAGATACGACAGCGTTTTTTATCTTTTTAATGACCCCGTGACTAGCAGACCAGATTTCAGAGAACAGACTGTGAAATGCTAACCTCTAACTCACACACTGACCTGCTGCTTCAGAAGTGGAAAGCTGGAGGTAAAGGCAGACTTTTGGGATGATAACAAAAAGAAAAGAAAACTGGTCCAAATACCTGTGCAAGTCATATGATGGAGAGCTTTACTTTGCCTTTTTCCTTCAGTGTTCAATATCATTTTGAAATATTCTTATTTTTTAATATTTCTTTTTTTGTATTCGCACCACAACAGGAGCATAAAATAACATGGCCAACAATAATTTTAAGTCTACGTAAAGCAATACAAATGCTAAACCCTGGTAGTTTGTGGCATTATGTGCTGCTCGTCTCCTGCAGCTCGGTTTTGTGTGTAGGGGACCACTGAAGACCCAGCATTTTCCTATGTAGTGTTGGACTGTACATGCAAACGTACGTTTTCTTTAAACGTATGTGCGTGGCAGTGCTTTTGTTTTGTGGCAGCTAAACCCCTTTCAGGTTTTCCTTGCATGCTGGGGGCCGCTGACTGCAGCCACTGCAGCAGCAGCTGTCCGAGTCCAACTCCAAACAGAGCTACATTTTGCTCCTTTTAATGACATCCTTCAAACATAGCCGTAAAAAAAAGGAGTTTTGATTATTCTAACAGTGTGTATGTATATTTAATAATCACAATGATAACTGGAAGCACGGAGCTGAGATTCCTCCTGAGTGTGTTTATATAAAAGCACAACCAACCACCTCATCGAATACGTTCTTAAGCAAAGTTTGTTTATATTCTCATTTGGGTTTTGTTTTTTTTTTGTTGGGTTTTTTATGCTCAGAATTTGTAAATTGTGGAGTTTTGTAGCCACCTGGGTAAATGCACATGCGTGCTCCTGTGTCAGGCACGCATTGGCAGAGTATGTATGCACCTCACCCAGCCCTTGCCTAAGCAAAAATGGATGCCAACCAACAGCGACTGCCTGGAGACACACAAAGTTCTCCGGTGTTTTGGAGTGCTGGCCGCCTAAGCGCTGAACAAATATGCACTGTATAAATGTCACCAGATAAAAAGCGTACAGGGATACTTAAAATGTCTTCGTTTGCCAGTTGTCTTCACCCAGATCCAAGAAAGAAAGCCTTTTTTTGTAACCGTGTTGAACAAATGCTAAACTCACATTACCCAGCACATAGTGCACTCATGGATGCTCTCTCTCTCCCAGGCAATGATTTGTTAGTGTTAAGGTTTATTTTTAATCACTGTATACTGATTGTGTGTTACCTGGTGTATTTGTGTTGCTCTTACCTCATCATGAGAACTGGAGGGATTGTGCGCGCGTGCATGTGTGTTCGTGTGTGTGGTTGTGGTGCAGAAACATGAAATGACATTGTCGGCACAAACACTCTCGCACATACACACCATGCATGTGGGTGGTTGGTGTGTTTTGTCCCAGTTGTGCTGTCCAAAGGGAACTGGGAGCCTCTTTTGATCTCAAATCAATCATCGTGCACTTGAACAACTTGGCTTGCATGTGGACTAACTGTGTGGGGATGATAATGTAGGCGTTGAATATTGTTACATATGCATTTTTGTGTCAGTTTGAAAATGGCAGAACTTAAAAACAAAACAAAAAAAAAGACCGTAATGTCAAATCTATTTATAGTTGTCTCTGTATTACTGGAGAATCCTGTGTTCAGATTTACTTTGTAAATACAATGTTGTACATTACAGAGGTACACTCTTTTTTTGGTACAATATTGTACAGTAATAGCAATAGTAGTTTAATCAAATAGGCCTTATATAATATTCCACGTGTAGTTCTTGTTGTAGATCTGCTTTTTTGTTCTTTTGTTTTTTTTAATAAACATTGCTTGCTATAAAGATTCTTGATTTGTTTGTAACAATAAATTGACAACATGAAACTCCCAGGAAGTCGTTCTTTAAAACGTTATTTCCAATTTTATGTCTGTCCACTGTTATTTGTTTATTACGTCTTACTATTGTGCATTAGTAAGACGTAATAAACAAATATCCACGGCACGAAGATACAGCTGTCCAAAGGGGAGTTTAATCGATTTAATGTTAAGAAAGTCAGAAAATCCCTTAAGCCGTGCAGAACTCTCAAAGAACTCTGCAAAGTGCCACACAGAAAGATGGATGAATGCATATATTATATATCTTCAACATTAGAAAAGACTGTGAAATGGGAGAAGAGTCGGTCAAATATGAACATTAAATGGGGGCAATGTAGCATTGTGTGGTGATATTATGTTTATACAGGGACACCAATTATCAATATTTTATTGAAGTATTAAAAAATATCATATTGCCATCAGTTTAAAAAGGTCTGATAAGGACTGGATGGATTATGATGTAGTCACAATAACACCGTAATAAAGACGATTGCAAAATAAGTAATTTCTATATAACCCTTCCGTAAATCCGGTTGATTACAGCATATTTTCCATTAGCAAATGCTTAACTCATCATTTATATCTCATTACTCCTCCTTAGTATGCCATTTATAAATACAGATCTGATACTATGATGATGATGATTAATGCTGGCAGTGATGTAGTAGGAGTGACAGCTGTACATAGTTACAGCATGTACAGCAGTGATAGCTGTACATGCTGTAACAGTAACAGGTGGATAAACATAACACAAATGGCATGCTAAGGAGGAGTAATGAAACACTTGCTAATAAAGTGCTAAAAACACACAAACAGCAAAATTAAGCGGCCAATTTTCATTTTAATCTAATTCTTTGGGGAAGTCAGTGGTGAAAGGAGCAAAATGCACAGAGATAAATAAGAGCATTCATTACCAAGTACACTTAAAACTATTGTATGGTTATGTAAGAGAGTAGCAAAGTTTTGTTGTTGTTGTTTTGTTTTTTTGCTACAACTTCCCTCTAGCAAAAACATATTCCCAGTATGGCTCCTGGGTTTTCCAGCCCCAGTTTCTCTGATCTGATCTGCGTACTCTCACGGCAGTCACTCTCACACAGGCACAGAGGGAAACTACATTTCCGCCTTCATCTAAAGTCCGTCCCACAACGTGAAGTCCGCACTTCCTAAACGATAACGCCGCAGCGCAATGCGGCCAGCTGCTGGCTCTGAACGAACCCTTCGGATCCCCGTTACAAAAAGTGACCCACGGCACACTGAGCCCGTGTCCAGCAGCACCTCCTCTCCGCGTCTCACCTGTTCGGAAAGGAGCCCTTCCAGGTATGAAAGCTGCTTCTAACTGCGGAAGAAGTTTCACACGTAGGCGTATTTTGTTTTCAGACGAGCTGGATTTACAGTAACCCAGAGGGCAGTTGGAGTTAGTAACCAACATTACCAGCAGTTATTTGTGGCGGCACGGCTGAAAAAAGCTGTTTTCTTGCTCCTGCCACGTTACCGTCAGGGCTAAATTAAAGGACGACTGACGAGCAGCAGCACCGGGTCCAGGTGAGGTCCGGCTACAGCTCCTACATAGGTTAGTAGCGCGAGCCCTGCTAAACTAATTAAACACCTAGCTTCAAGTAGCTAACCGCGTATTAACGTCGTTTTAATAGAGCCTTTGATGTAGAAGTTTAGTAAAATGTAAAAAATCGTGTTAGTGGAGATATCCGTGGAGGTATTTGTCTACTGACAGAGCTTTAATTAATGTAACACCTGCTTTTAATGGGAAAAATAGCTGCTGTGACGACATGAACTCAACTAGCCTGTTTAAAGCGAATAAATAAATGCAAATACTAGAGGTGGGCGGATCGATTCAAAAATTGAAAGTATCGATACCAACGCCGGTATTGGTGTCAGATCGATACTAGCATAATAGGATCGATACTTTTTTTCTATTCTCAGTTTGACATGTAGCCCACTGCATTGTGTTAAATTATTTATTTATTTTAGAAATATAAAAAAACCTCACCTCAAACATCAATCTATCCAACATTTCCTTTCCGTTTAACCTTATTAGTGTCTCGGGTGTGGGTTGGAGCCTGTCATGCAGTATGAAAGATGTCTCAACCTTGTTGTGTTGACTGTCACATTGATTTTGTTTATAGCCTACAGCACATTTTAATTAATAAAAGATGACCAAAAGTGCTTTACAGACAGGCACATTTACATTCCAGGCCTCCCCCCAAAAAACCCCAGTTTCACAATAAATGAAAAGCCGAAAGGTTTTGTTTTAACAACTAATTGTTGTAGAAAGTAAAAACCACCATGATTTAGTGATCTCTAAATCTGTTTAGAATACTTTTGTGGTGGTGCACCTAAGAAAAAAGTTAGGCACACCAGTGCAACCGTGGCAAAAAGTTGGTCTTAAGCCCTGATTAGATAACTGCTTGGCTAATGCTAAATGAATGCTCAGACAACGTGATTGGTCAGTTGCGATGGTGATTGTCGACCGACACTGCTATGATGATGTAGGAACAACACCAACGCTGGGATATCAGCAGATGTACATGCTTCCATTAGGACAGCAGAGGAGTTTTGTTTAGAATATGCAAATTGATCCTCGTATGTCATGATACACTGCTATACCCCAGGTAAAGTACCTTTACAAGTCAAAAGGTAATGCTGGCCCTGCATTACTTGGTATCAGATTGACACCAGAATTTGCAGTATGGCAATGCACTGACAAATACTACAACAGCAGGCCGTACGGTTATCCGATACTAACCTCTTTATTTTAGCATTTGTTTGTTTTATGATTGGATAACCTTGGTTCTGTCTCCCAAGGCTTTTCTAATAATAGTAACCCTCCCTTCTCATTTCTTCCAGTATGTCAGGTATTACAGCCAGTACAATAAGCTACCTGTGGTCTGTAGACGATGTCCTCGGGCAGGGGGCTACTGCCAGCGTCTACAAAGCACGCCATAAGGTAACCACAGGATGGTTTTATCATCTCATCGTACTCACAGGAAAAGTCATTCACATCAGTGCTGCCGTCATTATTGAAATTTCAGCCTGCTTTTCTTCTTCTTCTTCTTTTGCTCAGAGCAATACCAGGATGTACGATAAGAAAAGCTGTGGTTTCAGAGATGCTGTTGATTGCTGACACATTTGCGCAATGCTGTGATGTATCTGTGATGCAAATGTGCATGCGTGTTTGCAGAGGTCGGGTGAATTGGTGGCCGTCAAGGTGTTTAACATAATGAGCTACAACCGCCCCCACCAGGTCCAGATGAGGGAGTTCGAGATGCTCCGGAAGCTCAATCACAGCAATATTATCAAGCTATTCACCGTGGAAGAGGTAAGAATACAAAAAGTTATCTATATTAAAAAAAGAAAAAAGAAAAATATTAGCAACATGTAAAAGAAGCACACCTCACGGTTAATCCCTCACCTTTCAGCTGCCCTCTAAACAGAAGGTGCTGGTGATGGAGTATTGTTCAGGAGGGAGTCTCCTAAGCCTGCTCGAGGAGCCGGAAAACGCCTTTGGTCTCGCTGAAACAGAGTTCCTCACAGTATTGCAGTGTATAGGTGGGTGTGTATATGTGGTATCGGTCTGTAATTTTATGCACCTGTTTCTGAAACTTTCCACCCTCTGTTCTCTTCAGTGCAAGGTATGAATCACCTGCGGGAAAATGGAGTGGTACACCGGGACATTAAGCCAGGGAACATAATGCGGCAGGTTGGGGAGGACGGCAGGTCTGTTTACAAGCTGACAGACTTTGGAGCAGCAAGAGAGCTCGAAGATGACGAGAAGTTTGTCTCCATTTATGGAACTGAAGAGTATCTGGTAAGATAGCGGACTCACTGAGCAAACCTCTGCCAGGTTTCCTACAGTGGGGCAAAAAAGTATTTTGCACCAGAGGTACACTTCAACTGTGAGAGACAGAATGTGAAATAAAAATCCATGAATTCACATGGTAGGATTTGTAAAGAATTTATTCATAAATTAGGGTGGAAAATAAGTATTTGGTCACCTCAAACAAGGAAAATCTCTGGCTCTCACAGACCTGTAACGTCTTCTGTAAGAAGCTTTTCTGTCCCCCACTCGTTACCTGTATGAATGGCACCTGTTTGAACTCATCATCTGTATAAAAGACACCTGTCCACAGCCTCAAACAGTCAGACTCCAAACTCCGCCATGGCCAAGACCAAAGAGCTTTCGAAGGACACCAGGAAAAGTATTGTAGACCTGCACCAGACTGGGAAGAGTGAATCTACAATAGGCAAGCAGCTTGGTGTGAAAAAATCAACTGTGGGAGCAATCATCAGAAAATGGAAGACATACAAGACCACTGATAATCTCCCTCGATCTGGGGCTCCACGCAAGATCTCATCCCGTGGGGTCAAAATGATCATGAGAACGGTGAGCAAAGATCCCAGAACCACACGGGGGGACCTGGTGAATGACCTGCAGAGAGCTGGGACCAAAGTAACAAAGGTCACCATCAGTAACACACTACAACGGCAGGGAATCAAATCCCGCAGTGCCAGACGTGTTCCGCTGCTGAAGCCAGTGCATGTCCAGGCCCGTCTGAAGTTTGCCAGAGAGCACATGGATGATACAGCAGAGGATTGGGAGAATGTCATGTGGTCAGATGAAACCAAAGTAGAACTTTTTGGTATAAACTCAACTCGTCGTGTTTGGAGGAAGAAGAATACTGAGTTGCATCCCAAGAACACCATACCTACTGTGAAGCATGGGGGTGGAAACATCATGCTATGGGGCTGTTTTTCTGCCAAGGGGACAGGACGACTGATCCGTGTTAAGGACAGAATGAATGGGGCCATGTATCGTGAGATTTTGAGCCAAAACCTCCTTCCATCAGTGAGAACTTTGAAGATGAAACGAGGCTGGGTCTTCCAACATGACAATGATCCAAAACACACCGCCCGGGCAACAAAGGAGTGGCTCCGTAAGAAGCATTTGAAAGTCCTGGAGTGGCCTAGCCAGTCTCCAGACCTCAACCCCATAGAAAATCTGTGGCGGGAGTTGAAAGTCCGTGTTGCTCGGCGACAGCCCCAAAACATCACTGCTCTCGAGAAGATCTGCATGGAGGAATGGGCCAAAATACCAGCTACTGTGTGTGCAAACCTGGTAAAGACCTATAGTAAACGTTTGACCTCTGTTATTGCCAACAAAGGTTATGTTACAAAGTATTGAGTTGTATTTTTGTTATTGACCAAATACTTATTTTCCACCCTGATTTACGAATAAATTCTTTACAAATCCTACCATGTGGATTCATGGATTTTTTTTCACATTCTGTCTCTCACAGTTGAAGTGTACCTCTGGTGCAAATTACTGACCTCTGTCATCATTTTAGGTGGGGGAACTTGCACAATCGGTGGCTGACTAAATACTTTTTTGCCCCACTGTAAATACTTTGGGGACCTTCGAATAAGTGAGTGAAGACTGATTACAGTTTATTATGTTTTTAGTGCTGGTTTGCTTGTGATAGTAGCATTAGCAGGGCTCTAGAGTGCGACCAATTAGGTCGCACATGCAACCTAATTTCTGAATGGTGCGACTAAAAAATATCCTAGGTCACACCGGTGCGATCAGCCGTTTGAGTAACAAAAGTCTCCGCAACTCTGTCTACGTGTGGTCAACAACAGACACACATTATGCCCATATCGTGGTCTAAACCAATCAGAGATAGTCAGGGGCGGGACCTCTCTGGTTGGCCCTGGTCCAAATATTCCTGTAGGCCTAGGTGTCTGTACGTTTGAAAGTGCAGGCGGATAGAGAGAGGTGAGTAGTCAATAATCAATTTGATTCATTAAATCCTGATATAATATAAATATATTTTATCAGAAACGCCAGAATCTCAAGTTAAACCTCACAAAACTATTTCAAAAACCACCAAACAGCTAAAACAGTAAACGAGAGCAGCGAAAAGGATTCCGGACAAAGACGTAAACACAAAGCATGGACCCGATGCATCAGAATCTGTGAGATGTCGGTGTGGTGTGAATAAGTCACGGTGGGACCACAGATCATCATTTAGAGCCATTTATTGTTATCAGCTGCAGCTCTTAAGCTGCCAGCCACGCATCACATCACACCACAACTTCCAACCCACAACCCCGTGTTTTAACACAGTGGGCGTGATCGCGGATGCTGTGCAGGTGCGTCTGCATTGATGACCACGCCTCACCACAGTCGGCTTTCTCACCCGACGGCACTGTTGCCCCCACGCTGTCGGGGCTGAAAGCCGACAGCTCACAGATGGTGAAGCTGCAGGTGTTGTCTCTCTCCAACCAAAATTCACTGAAGAAGATCAAAACTACACTTCACATTTGATAAACATCGCCATTAATTCCCTCTTACTTTTGCTGTTTTGCTTCCACCATGATAAAATAACACTTCCTTCACAGCTCTTTCTCTATTTTGAGAACAGTTTCCCATCTCAAATCTGTTTTCTGCGTTATTCGTTCGCTTGTTACAAACAAGTCGTGTACAGCGCTGTCGGCCGCTGTTTTTTTTTAATTGTATTTTTCCCAAGAAAGACCTCTGACAAGAAAACCGAATTTCTGCTGTTTAATACTGAAGAAATGTAAACTTTTTTAAAATTATGCCAAATTGCAAAACTAGCTGTGTCTCTAATAAAACCTCTGTAACACTGGTCCAGAGACAGCATCAGATAATGAGCCACATACGATTGACTCCGAGCCAGAGCCCATTGAAAGCAAAAGGGGGAAAGTATATACAATAGAAGAGTGGCTTGACCAGTTTCCCTGGCTAAGATACAGATAAAGCTGACAACATGATGCACTGCATTTACTGTGTGGAAGGACCATAGCCGGCAATACTGCAGTTGTGACTGGTGCTAATACGTTTCGAACTGAAATGCTGAGACAGCACAGTGTATCCAGAAAGCACATTATATGCCGCGATAAATGCACTGCCCAGGTGTCCCCTCTCCCCACTGCCTTTCACAGCAGGCAGCAGGAAACAGGTCATCAGAGGAGGCAGAGATCATGATTAAGTTTAACATTGCCTACAATATTGCCAAAGAGTGGCAAAGTGCCAAAGCACTTTAAGCACAAGCACTTTTTCAGTAACTTATCTTTCTTGTAGAACTGTGCTCAAAATAAAGAACTTTGTGCTGACAAGATTGTTAGTTAATCATTTACAAATCAATATGTCTGTATGGACAGCAATTTAAAAAAAAAAAAAGTGAATATGTAAAACTGTCGTGTTAAGCGATGCGGTTGACAGATTTGGGTGCACCTAACTTTAGTGCTGGTGCACCTAAAGCCCTGATTAGATAACTGCTTGGCTAATGCTAAATGAATGCTCAGACAGCATGATTGGTCAGTTGCGATGGTGATTGTCGACCGACACTGCTATGATGATGTAGAAACAACACCAACGCTGGGATATCAGCAGATGTACATGCTTCCATTAGGACAGCAAACAGAGGAGTTTTTAGCCACCGCACATGTGCTGCCATGCAGTCCTTCAAAATCCTACTGTACGGCACTGGACTTGAATCACCTAGGAGTCAATCGAATGCTGATTCACTGTCGAGTGGACCAGAATAGAAAAGGGAGAATGTGGGAAAAAAATCAAAGATTTAAAAAAAATACAGCAGGAAACGCACAGACAATAGCTGTAGTGGATACTTTCCATCGTTTTTGTCTGTGGGACGAACAACAGGACAGGGAAGAGTAGCCCACTCACTGACTGAAATACATGTTTTTTACACTGCCTTCATTGACAGCAAGCGCTCTGTGCAGGTCCACTATCCCGCCTAAAGAATAAAGCAAGCAGTGGTTCGTGGACATAGAGTTGTCTTATATTATTTTTTCAGGTTCGGGTTAGCCTGCAGGTGGCCTTGACATGGTCCGTTGCATTTATGTTCCATTTGCACTACAGTTAAAAACATTTATGATGATGAGTTTTTCCATCAGAAAATCTTTTTACTGGCTTACTGTAGGGACAGTGGTGAAAGAGTGCATTCATTCCCATCTAATAACTGGGGTCAATAAAAAGTATATAACATAACATGTTCGCAAGGAGTGTTGATTTTTAAAGTAAAAGCTTTAAATCGATACACTTTCATATTGCAATAATTAAAATGCTTCCTTCAGCACTCGGCTTGCAGCCTTGTCCCCACTAAACTATTTTGCTTATCCTAATTTCCCCAATGGAATATCTTACCTTGTAAACTCTGATCTGAATCTCTGTGTTATGTTAGATTAGGTGGAGACCAACACCTCTGCGAGTGATTTAACCTGAGGTAGATGTGAAAATGTTTTGTTACCAGGGTCCGATTTCACAGCAAAGTGGACAGTATCCAAGTGACATTTAAATGACAATCTTCAGGAGCCCAAATTTGAATATTTAAAGGCAGCCTGCATGATCAGGACTAGGTAGCCATCTAGTGGTCAAATCTATTAGTTATAACAGCCATTCCTAAAATCAAGAGTGCCGCAGCCCACTTAAAAACCAGAAAATCCCATGGGGCTCATCTAGTCTTAAATCTTCACTCACTACTCAAAATACAAGTGATGTATTTTCTTGAAAATTTTATCAGAAAACCATAAAAAACACGATTATGGCTATAAATTTCAAATGCTACCCAGTCATATGTAACGTCTTAAAGGCCAATGTGTGACCCACCTGCCACTGGCACACAAACTTTGATACAAGAGCAGCGACTTTAGGCTAAAATAATGAGTAATATCCCAAACTCACAAGCTTTTATCACCAGTTTTAAGTCACTTTTTATATAAATAAATATATTTATATAAATATGTAAAAGTACATACATCTGAGGAATTTCAAACTGACCTTCTGTTGTTTCTGCGGCCCATCTGTGGTACCTTTGCACCCCACAAGGGGGCCCCAGCCGGGGAATCACTGCATTATCAGAACAAAAGGTGAACTATGTAGACTTGACTGATACACAGTGCTGGATCGAAATGGCGCACTGTGGCTCACTATGAAGGTGCTTTGACTGTTTTCTCTTCTTCATGTGTCTGTGTGTAGCACCCAGACATGTATGAGCGCGCAGTGCTACGTAAGCCTCATCATAAATCTTACGGGGTGAGTGTCGACCTGTGGAGTATTGGTGTGACCTTATACCACGCTGCCACTGGGAGTCTTCCCTTCACACCATATGAAGGACCACGAAGGAACAAGCCCATTATGTAAGTTAATACATTAGAGTTCTTCAAGCCCCCAACTGAAACCACAGCTAACATCTGTACATCTACATGTACCAGCCATGATCAATGTTAGTAACTGTGCCTTAGGACATATATTTATGTATTTCCTCTGAACCATTTTGGGGGTTTTGTTTTATAGGTTCAAAATAACCACAGAGAAACCTATGGGGGCGATAGCTGGAATACAACGGAGAGAGGGCGGACCTATAGACTGGAGCTATCACCTACCTCACAGCTGCCAGCTGTCACAGTATGCCACCTAATAAAAACAACTAAATCCTATTTATACACACCTTGTCACCATCAAACCCTCATGGTTTTTTTTGTCTCTCTTTGTTGTTCCCTTTTCTTGCTCTCCCTGTCTCTGTGGCTGTAGGGGTCTAAGGGTGCAGCTGGTTCCAGTACTAGCAGGTATAATGGAGGCTGACCAGGAAAAGTGTTGGTGCTTTGACCAGTTCTTCACAGCCACCACAGATGTATTGCAGCGGCAAGCAGTTCACCTCTTTTCTCTGCAGCAGGCCATGGCACATTGCATCTACATACACCACTACAACACGTAAGTCTGCAGAGGCCTTTATGGGTGGCCTTTTTTTCCCTTTGGCTGTTTTTGTTTATTAAAAAAATGTAGTGCAAGCTCAGTATCTTGATGAGAGTTTGAATTTGTTACTGACAATGACGTGAAACCATTTTGTTTTCTGGAATTTATACAAGAAATACGCAGCAGAAGAACTCGCAGAATAATGAGGTGTAATATGTGTTATAGTTTTAATGTGGTAATGCCAGTAAATTCTGTGCTGAGCTGTGGATTATATCTGTAATCTCAAATTGCTTTTTTAAAGCCTTTCACTCTCAGTTCATTGAATCTGTGCAGTAGAACTCAGGGCGTTTGAGGACAGAGCAGATTTGTATGTTAGGTTTGTAATTTAAGAAATCGTGATTTTTATGCAAACATAACTGCTGCTATTTCCTCATCTTTTTTCACCCCATGTTTCCTGTTTTTGTCTCTGCCAGCACTGAAAAAAAGACAAAAAGCTAAAACAAATACAATAATTATTTTACATTTATTTTTGTATAAAAATATGTCTGCAACTCAGCTTTATGGTAATCTGACCATTATTATTTTGTCATTGTTTATGAAGCGAACTAAAGGTTTAAAAGACTTACTGACACATGTAATCACCGAAATTTAATACACTTTATTTGTGGGGATTTGGACAAGAACAAATCAAAAGGGTATTCAAAGCTTCCAGCTCCAGGAGAAAACTGTGTGTCAAAAGAAAGAAGTTAACTAAATAAGCTTCACTCCAAACAGCAGCGACCAGGCGCACTGAGAACAGTCTTAAGAAGCAAACTTGCTCCTGAAATTTAAAAATGTGTCTAACAAAATTAAAATCTGTCTCTCTTCTCAACCAGAGTATCAATCTTCTTCGAAGAGGTGGCGTCTCAAACAGGTATAGGGGTACAGCAACAACATCACATGTACCTCGGACATGACCTGCTCTTGGAGGGCAGCATGAAGGTGGTCAATCTTCCACGAACTTCACCTTCTCAGCCCCTCATTCTGCTCAGCTATGCAACTGATGAAGCAAACACCAGCCTGCCATTCAGAGAACGTAAGACCGAGACTTGCATAACGGAAATATGTGTGTGTTAAGTTTTGAGAAAAAGGTGTCAGTTTCTGTCTCAACAGAAATATTTTAGCTGGTTTGGTGTGAGCATGCAGTTGTTATCACACAGTTGCACAGACATGATTGCACATTTTCATGAATTCTATATTTTTTGCGATGTATTTCTTTTGTCCTCTGCAGCAGAGAGTCCCGTCATCCCGGCCAGGTTTGACATCATGGCAGATTACAATTTCTCCAAGGTAAATGCTCCCTGTTATTAGTTTAAAATATTATTTAATATATTATTTTATATACTAAACACTTTTCATATCTGCCTTCTTTTCCCCCCGATCCCCTTTTATTTTTAGATTGTAGTAGGTGTAGTCCACCAGTATCTGAGGATAGTACGGCTGCTGCACACGCACCGGGAGTTGCTGCTGCAGGGATATTACAGCTACATGTGAGACACAAACACAGATAAAAAATTATTTGTTAGTCTTCTTGGAATTCTGGGCCTCCCGGGTGTTTTTTCCCTTCAGTTTATGTTCTGCGTTTCCCTATTTTTCTTGTTTCTTAGAATGAAATTGCGCAACAAGTGCAGAGAAGCCTTGCACAGTATTGCCATGGTCACCATTAGACTGCAGTCCTGCCTCAATGCAGAACACGGGATTCGCACACTGTAAGTTTGTCTGCACACTTTTTAACCCTAAGCTGTAAAAGGCTGAAGAGGTATTGTTGTTGCAGCAAGTTTTCTGGAAATCTTGTGAATGTGATAGCTCAAGAAGGGAGTCACCTGGGATTTTCAAATGAATACATACAGTGTATCTACTAGAAGGCTGAAGGGTAGCACTGGCACCCGTAAGTGTTTTTAGAATAAGCACAGAAAATTAATTCTGTAAAAGTGCACTCGAGATGGTAAAGTGCAGTGTTTGCAATAATTCGGGCATACTTGTAGGTAGATTATCTTGTAGATACTTGTAGATTATTAAATCTACCTTGTAGAGGTAGATTTTTTTTTTTTATCTTGACAAATGAGGCTAGGTCTTGTGTAAACATAGACATAAAACATTTCTAATGTTCCTGATACTGTAATAATGCCATCTTTAACCTATAACCTTCCTTTCTCCTCCAATATCTGCTACATTTCTTAGAGACCCTTACACTTCAGAAAATCTAGGCTCAGCTGCTAATGGTCAAAGGTTGCGGCAGGTGAGTACCAAGAGCAAAAAACAGAGATGAGCTCGACTGATGCAGTTATACAGGTCCCAGTTAAAACTGTACAATTAAAACTCAAATTATGTCTTGTCTTTGTGAAGGTTTAATACCTTTTTGCTGGTACTGTAGTAGTAGTACTGGATGCTGCAGTTTGTGGTGCACCTGATTTACATGCTGTTATTCTAAAAACATCATAGAGGGAAAGCAGATATAATCATCCTGCTTTTTATGCTACCTATTGGCAAATATTAACACTGATTGAGTGTCTTTGAGATGGATATTTGGTTGCTACTAGAATTATAAGATACTGTATTGTAGTTCAAATTTTAGAGGATGCTAAATTTAGGTTTATTATGAATTTATATATAAACAGGCACATTGCCTTAGCGTTATAGTAAGATTTAAACCTGGTATGCAAAGGAGTTAGAGTTCCCTCGCAGTTGATTGAAATTCAATATCATGAGAGACAGGCAGACAGCATAGCTTATATTTGATGCGTCTCATATTGAATCCCCTAAATGTGAGAGCTTGAATCATAACTGATTGCACAGATTTGTGCTTTGTTGATGTGTTGTGTGTAAGAATCTGAGATGCTTGTCTCCTCAGGTTCATCAACACCTACCTTTGTACAGTGCTGGTATCCAAGAGTTTCAGAACCGACTTGATCAACTGCAGATAGAACAGGCCAAGTTGTCAGAGACTCTGGCCAATGATAAGAGGTACTATCGGGGGCAGGGATTCAAAACTGCAGAATGGACAATTGGTTTTATTTATAAGTGTTTATTAGAACTAATTTCTTTTCTTATAGCTGCCAGAAGATAGAGATGCTGCTACAGAAGATAACAGCAATTCATCAGCATTATCGTAAAGACAGGCTGACTGGCAGTATGCACAGCTTCTCTATAGATACTATAAATTTCTTGTTTGTGTTTCATATTATTCATCTGACAGATTTCTTCTTTTTCCCACAGAGCTAGCATACAATGATGAGCAAATCCACAAGTTTGAGAAGTGAGTGCGTGTGTGTGATTATGGATTTGTGTTCCCACAGCTATGCCCCAGCCTGTAAAGTACCTGCGCTGTCGTGTAATCTGTTTGTTGTTCTTCCTTGACAGAATCCACCTGTCGAGCCACATTAAGCGAGTGAAATCTCTGTTCAGAGAAGACTGTGTGCAGAGATACAAAGAGGTTTTAGACTCAACAAGAACATGGAACAGGTCAGAGCAAGCTACTCCTTCATTAAAATAACCTTTAGCAGTCATTCAAACAGTTGATCAAAGCTGATATTGTATGTTATTGATTAACCCTGGTCATCATCACTGTATATTTGTGTAACATGGAATACAGGTTACATACTTTATGCACTTTGATTCTCTGTCTTTCAAATGTGTTTAAGTAGAGTAGAAACATTTTAATTTAAAATACAGGTTAAAAACATATATGGTATAAAAGATGGGTGGAGCCACGCAGCTTGTGAAGCCTCAAACTGAGAATTTTTGCCACCTTGACCAGACAAACGATTGTGATTGACAAGTCATTATCCAGTGAATACGTGGTGGCTTATCCTTCTTTTTGGCTCAAGTAATGACCATAATAAGGCTGGGTGGTTCGCTCCCTACTCCAATCGTCCTCCTTTGGATGATAGCATCACCAGCAGCAAGCGAAGATGTTATCCACCCTCTATAATACACAATATGTGTTCCAAACAAAAACACACACAAAGAAAACAATTCTTACTTCCACCATGAAGAAATGTCTCCATAGTTGACACACAATACTGATTGATTTAGCCATCTGCAATTTGTTGCTGGATTTCAGCTGAATCCAGTGAAATTTTCTTCAGGTTTATTTATTACAGCTCCAAATCACAACAAGAGTTACCTCAAGGTAAGGCTTAATATTTTAAGGTGAAAAAACTACAATAGCACAGAAAAAACATAGAAAACACCAACAAACAGAAAACCCCCAATGAGAAAGTATTTGGCGACAGTGGGAAGGAAGAACTCCTTTTTAACAGGAAAAAGCCTCCTGAAGTACCAGGCTCAGGGAAGGGCAGCCATCTGCCGGCTGGGGGTGAGAGAAGGAAATCTGTGGAAGAGAGCCACAGATTAATAATAATTAATAATTACATCAGAGTGCTGTATAAACACATGGACAGGGGAAAAGATGAGTTTTTCATAGGAGGCTCCAAGCAGCCTAGGCATATTGCAGCGCGACTAAGGGAGAATTCAGGGTCACTTGATCTAGCCCTACCTATAATTTTTATCAAAAAGGAAGGTTTTAAGCCTAATCTTAAGGTTTGACTTCTCTGAGGTCCTCTTCTTTTCCCCCTGGCTGGCAGTTCAGTATTCTATATCCTTTATCCAATATATCCACGGTCCCTCCTTCAGTTCAGTTCAGTTTTATTTCAAACATGTGCATTCACAATCATTACAAAAGATCATTCCATTATTTTGTTTGAAAAGGAGTAGGCAGAAGTATACACTTATTAGTCCCTACCCCCTCAAGTTTTACGTCTCATTGATTAAATTTTCTTTTAGTCTTAAATTAAACAAACAACATATGAAGCTAAAGCAAAGACAAAACAAACAAACAATAAAACAAAACAAATAAACAAGCCCCACCACAGTATAGTTACTTTCATATAAATAAAGACAGAATGGTTACATTGGCAGATTCACAAATTATGAAACAAACAAACTAAAACACTATTACGAACAACATTACCGCCCGGGTCAACCCTGTTTTCTTCATTCTTATATTTGTTTAAAATGTGTTTTTTATATTTTATTTTAAACTGGTTTATGTTGTTACTTTCTTTAATTTCTTCTGTTAGACTGTTCCATAATTTAACTCCTGCTATGGAGATAGACATACTTTTTAAAGTTGTTCTAACACTTTGTATTTTAAAATTCCATTTCCCTCTTAAGTTATACTCACCTTCTCTTTCTATAAACAATTATCAGATTTCTTTTGGAATTCAATTCAATCCAATTCCATTTTATTTATATAGCGCCAAATCACAACAAAAGTCGCCTCAAGGCGCTTCATAGATACAGAGAAAAACCCAACAATCATATGACCCCCTATGAGCAAGCACTTTGGTGACAGTGGGAAGGAAAAACTCCCTTTTAACAGGAAGAAACCTCCGGCAGAACCAGGCTCAGGGAGGGGTGGGGCCATCTGCTGCGACCGGTTGGGGTGAGAGAAGGAAGACAGGATAAAGACATGCTGTGGAAGAGAGACAGAGGTTAATAACAGATATGATTCAATGCAGAGAGGTCTATTAACACATAGTGAGTGAGGAAGGTGACTGGAAAGGAAAAACTCAATGCATCATGGGAAACCCCAGCAGCCTACGTCTATTGCAGCATAACTAAGGGAGGATTCAGGGTCACCTGGAAGCATTGTATTTCTTACTTTATATATTATTTGCGCTGTTTTAAACTCCACCAAGTCTTGGAATTTAATAGCTTGCATTTTGAAAAATAGTCAATTTGTATGATCCCTGTATCCTGTATTATTTATTAATCTAGTGGCCCTTTTTTGTATTATTGTTATTGTTTGTGTATTACTTTTGTATGTGTTTCCCCAGACCTCTACACAGTAGCTCATATACGGCAGTAGTAAAGCACAGTATAATATGTGCAGTGCTTTCTTTCTCCAGTATTTGCTTTGCTTTCCCCAGGACGGCCATGCCCGGTGCCAATTTCCCTTGAACATAAGTAATTTGTGGTTTCCAACAGACCTTGTGGTCAATGATCACACCAAGAAATTTTATTTAATTCACTCTTTTTTTTAAATATACATTGTCAACACATATTTTTACTTTGATATTTTTCTTTTGGTTTCCAAACAACATAAATTTGGTTTTATCTAGATTCAATGATAATCTTTTTTATATCAAACTTCTTTAATATCGTTAAATCCTGTGTGATCATCTCCAAAACACAACTCCTCTGCACATGTACAAACCACCATTTTGTCAGTAATGCTTTTTTAAATTATCTTTCATCATCGTTATAAAGTGATTGGACAATAAAAATTAAAAAGAAAACCCACCACCACCATGATTGTTTATCTATAAGCATTTGTTTCATTTGGTAGCACTGTCTGTCAGTGGATATCCAATCTCCGTGGAAAATTACTTGATGCTTGAGCAACTAAAACAGGAACAGGATGGCATTTTTGTTTACTCGTGTGGCCAGCGATAGCTTTCCCATGGCAGGCAGTGGAATAACTGGAGCAACAGGAAACTCTGGCTTAGGAAAAGAAGGTGAAGGAGTGCGAGGCCATAAGGACACAAGGGTGAACAACATTTTTGGTATTCACTTGATGGTTAAAAATTTGAAGAAAAGGTTATTTCTATGAGGTCGTTGAGCCTTAAACCCTGCCTAGTTACCAGCCTAATGATGGTGTTTAATAACTGAAAGCAGAGTGGTCTTTCCAAGAATGGTGCAGGATGGTGGGTGTGGGTTTGAAAACCTGTCTGTTACCAATTAGGTTTACTCAAGTGTGCTTCTACATTTGTTTGCAGCCTTATGCTGGAGCTGCAGACCCGACTGCAGGACTTCAGTTCTTTCTCTGCAGGCTTAATAGCAGACTTAGAGATGAGTGAGCAGTGCCAGAATAAGGTCAGTATCACTCTTTTCATGCCTAGGAGACACAGTCTTGACACCTTATGCATAAACATGGAGTCTGACATACATTTTTCCTGTGCTGCCTTTTTGTTTGTGCTCAGTAGTTATTGTATTAGTGATGTCGCGCAAGTCAGTGACTATGTCATGTCTCATTTGTCGTCCTCAGGTTATGGACAGAATCCTTTACACTCTGCAGTCCAAAAGACCAGAACAACAGTCAGCAGTCATACCCAAAGACAATGACCAGATGGTCTCCAGGTGTGTGTGTGTGTGTGTGTGTGTGTGTGTGTGTGTGTGTGTGTGTGTGTGTGTGTGTGTGTGTGTGTGTGTGTGTGTGTGTGTAAAATTAAGACATTTCCCGACTGCCATTGCAGTATTTCTTTCTTTTTTGTAGGATGCACCATTTGAAGGAGGAAATGGAGATTCTGGTGAGGGAGCTACAGTGTAACAACGGTATTATAGAGAGGTCAGTGGTGTGACCACCTTACTGTTAACAAATCTCATCTGTCAAAGCACACGCAGCATGATGCTGATGGTATTTCTGTGGTTCCATAGCCTGGGAGCCGTGAACTCTCCTGCAGCTCTGGAGCCGACTCTGGCCAGACCTTCTACACTGTGACACAAGACCACTGTCTCTGGATCTTGCCTCTGAAAGGCGCACGCACACTCTCTAAAAATCACCTCATCTTAAGTGCCATCAATGAATGTACTGGCCTTTCAAGGACCATCTACAGTGTTTGTTTTTATCTCTGCTTCCTCTTCCTTTAACAATCAATGAAACGTCTTTTATCAATTTAGAAATAAGATAAGCACAAAGAGAAAGGAGGATAGGCTTCAGGTGTGTGTGTGTGTGTGTGTGTGTGTGTGTGTGTGTGTGTGGCTGAGTATAGCAGTAATAAGATCAATAAAATCTTCATTAATGCCTTAAGTGTTATTGTATTTGTAATAGGCTGCCATAGAGATAGACAGCCAGGATCAATGAATGCATAGTCAGCTCTTACTGTTTTTTGTGGTCCTTTGTTTCACAGAAGAGGAAGAGTAGGCTCTGGAGAACCTTGAATAGTATATTTATCCAGACAGAGTGTGTACTAGTATGCAGGTTTTGATTATATTTGGGATATAGAAACATTATTAAAAAACAGTATAAAATGTTTCTGTACAAATCTGCTTATAAACAGGGTAATGGTTGTGCTTGTAGACTCTGTTTTTCTTTGTGTCTGTGTGTTTTTGATGAAAAAGGCCTTCCAATGATTGATCATTCCACTTGATGATGAATTTGCTCTATTTCATCTTTTTAACCCACATTTGTTTCTGTTCCTGTTGGTTTTTAAGTGGAATGATAAAATAATTCTGTGTGTTTCATCATGGGAATCCCTGTAAAAGAGAAGCACGACCATGGGGAACTCAGGACTCACCACAGTGTCTTCTTTCTCTTTGCAGAAGGGCATTAAAGCTAACACTTCGATAACAGCTGACCAAAATGACATTATAAAGTGACATTAGCCACTGTGGTGTATGCTGGGGAAATCCCAGCTTTGTTATTTGTTGATTATGAAAGGCGGTATTTAGGGGGGAAATACTTGCTGTTATTTCAACTTTCATTTATTTATTTGACTGTTTTGTAGTCTTTAAAAATAATTCAGTCAGAGCCAGATTTCAAACAGAAAAGTGGATGAAATCCTTTCCTGGCCCCTAATGTCAGGTTATGGTGGGTGTGAACGAATATCGTTGCTCTTAAACACCAAAAAACCCTGAAGTGAAAACGTAAAACAAGTGTGAGAAATTGAAAATGAAAGAAAGTGTGTGGGCAGGGCGTGGGCGTCCTCGTGGACTTTCTCAGATCAGTTGGGGGCGATGAGCTCAGCTGCCTCTGTGGTTATTTTTTTCAGCTCATGACGTGTTTCTGGCAAATTGGAAAACTTTACTGTTTTTAGCCCACACAAACAAGTGTAACAGACAGACTTTGTGATATTTTACATTGAGACAAAATTTGCGATACTGTCAGTCCAGAGTGAGGCCTACAAATCAGATTCATCAAATGTGTGTTTTTTACGCCTCCCAGTCAGTAATAGTTGTAACCTGAGCCATTCTGGGTTTATTTTTTTGTTATGTGAAATAAAAACTATGCTTCTAAAATAAATATATACATATATTGGACAAGATTTGAGTTTTTGTCAGTTTGCTCAGTTTTGGTTTCACACCCTTCCTGATGAGGCTTTGGCACTAAGGTCTGTTGAGACTTGTCTTGTTGGTTAGAGACTTGTTAGTCTGCTGCCCAAAAAATGCTGTTTGTCTTGCAGTACCGAGTCAGAACCTTTCATTTTGCCCCTGACAAATCCCCTCCATGCAAAATAATAATAAAAATAATAGTGAAACTGAACAGAGTCAAACAGAAACAAAACGGACTCGACAACAAGAAACTCAAAACAGAAATCAAATCATTTGAAAATAATGTTTATTTCTAAGCCCCCATTAGAAATAAACACACATAATCACAAAAAGTGATTTTGTCCATAATTTAAGAATTTAAACCTTAAATATAAAAGGGATGTGACACAAGATGAAAATATTTACCTGAGGGGTCAAAGATGTAATCTTTGGTGTAAATTCAAAGTCTACACATCTAATCCTCTTCCGTAACATATATCTGGACTCACAGCATAAACAGAACTTGACTGGATGGCGGAAGCATACAATCTCGAGGTGGTAATTCCACTTTTTTTTTAGAAAAAATAAATAAAATTGAGGTAAACGTGTGGCATGTCAAATATCTTGGCCTTTAATTTGCTGTCCCATTAAAAACAAAAAAAAAACCCACTTGAAACGGACTATTTAAATAAGAAGATTTATCATTTTTAAGCTATTCGTTTCATTATACATCCAGTCCGTGGTATTTCTCTGCATATCCCTGAACTGTGATTCTTTAAGAAACGCATTTTCTGGTTTCAGGAGATTGTTGCTTTCCCTTCATTTACAGTAAGTGGCCGGCTGGAATAAAACAAATTTCACTGACTCGTCATCAAGTTCAATATCATCCAGTGATGCGGGCTGGTTAGCGTGCTAAAACGTTAAACAGAAATTCATGCGCGCTACTATCCCTCGTGTCTTTGGGGAAGCGCGCTCGCGCTTTAAAAGTGTCGTTTCCCTTGCGTCACTACTACAGGCGTGACACGGCGGGGAGAGCTGAGTTTACAGTCAGGGCACGGAGTGAAAACACGCACACTGACACCCCTCAAACAGACGAACACACGCGCTTACAGGAGGGGGTTTGACAGGATAATGGCGTCTGTGAGTGTGGTGGGGCAGCAGCCGGGTCCGCAGTTCTTCGGGCAGCTCGGTGGCAGGAAGAAAACCATCCTGCCGAGGAAAAAGTCCTGGGAGATGTTCAGGAGAAGCTCAGGGAGCGGGGAGGAAGATGTGTCTGTCACTGCTGGAGGAGACACAGGGACGGTGGTGAGAGGAGGAATGATGCCCGGTGAAGGATGCGGGGCTCCGTCCGCCCATTCTGCGCCACGTAGCCCGGAGCAGCAGCGGGACAGCGGCGCGGGCACCGCCGCTGGGGCACGGCAAAGTCACAACGGGCACATCACCGGCGACTGCAGCAGCAACAGCTACATGGACTGTCATGCCAAGCACACCGCCCGCGGGGGTCGGAGGAGCTCCTCGCTGAAGGGACCGGGCACTAATGTCATACCGAGCGAATCGCTGGCGAGTGGACATAAAAGATTGCACCGGCATCGGAGCGCGACGCAGGCAGATTCTGTGAACGGAGACAGCGGACGTCAGAGCATCTCCTTGCGGCATTCAGCGCCAGGGAAAAGCGGCGGTCTTCCACTGGAGCGGGTTACGCAGGGCAGAACCGGAGTGGTGAAGCTGGCTCGTCCCGAACCTCACCGCATGGAGGCCTGGTCCATCTTCTCTCAGGGGACAGACCCCCGGGTGAAGACGGAAAGGGGTGAAGGACACCGTTTCGAGGCCAAGCCCGTTAAGCAGGACTGGTGTGACGCGTGTAGCCGGCAGGTCACTGTGGAGGCACTCAAATGTCAAAGTAAGTAGTTAAAGCAGGCTACTGCAAGTGAGTTGCTTTTTTTTCTTTCCCCGTGGAAATGAGTGATTATAGGCTTATGTGGTGCCACGCCACACACTCGGTGTATACCTGCTTCATTCACTTGTGTGATTACTGTTTCATTTCCCCACACGAGACATCGTGGAACAGACTGCGCACGTGAATGCAGAGTGTTTTGAATTAGAGATCCGCGTCTTGTTCCTGCAGCGCAGTTTTTATGAAGGGCACGTTGTAGCTGGGTGCCAAACCATAGCTGTGGTTGTGTGTTTGTACACACAGACAAACACACAAAAATTGTGCATGTGCCTTTGTGAGTGACTCGGAGTGACAGGGAAGGACATTTCCAAAGACTTTTTCACCACAGGCAGCCAAAATCCTTCCACGGAAAGAGCTTTATCTAGTTCTGCAGCTGTGCCTCCCAGAGTTCCCACTTTGCTACCAGACTTAGAGAAAGAGGGCGAGATGGAATCCACAGTGGTGTACTGGTGAAATCCTGAGTAGTGGAAATGTCTGCTCAGACACATTTAATGGGGACAATATATTAAATACATCAGTCTGATGCTGTGGGATGTGAGAATGTGTTCAGAGACAGAAAGCAGCATCTGACGATGCCACTCCTAACATATCTGCATGGCTCTGTCACAGACAGTTTGGACTAGAACTCAACCTGAGGTACCTTTGTGCTTCTCTGCACACCCACTGCACATGCGTTCATCCTCTGTGTGTGTGTGTGTGTGTGTGTGTGTGTGTGTGTGTGTGCGGCTGCTGAGCAGGCATTGTGTCAGCAGTAGTTTGTCATGGCGAGGTTGGAGCTGCAGAGTAGTGTGAGATAAGGCAGGATAAAGGATGATTGGAAAGGGAGGGATAATGAATGAAGCAGGTTAAAAAACAAACAAACAGTAAAACAAAATCAGGAGGAAATGAAAGAGAAAAATAAAGGATGGCATGTGGTTGCAAACAGTGGGTGATGGCAAGTGACGGGAATCAGGAGAGACAAAGAGCTAAGAGCAGAGAGTGCACAAGAGAGAGGGATGGAGGAAAAAGAGCGCAAGTTTGCCGGCACTGCCGAGCTGTCTGATTTAGTGTGCTATCAGCAAGAGCTCACTGAGGCAAGAGCAGAAAGATTACTGGAGCATATATACCCACAGAAACATGCACACACACAAAACACACAGTTTCTTTACATCTCAAAAACTTCACTAACTTTTTCACTCCCCTTCACAATTACTCTCTTCATGGATAAAACCAATTAGTTGTACATCTGCTCTCTCTTATCAGAAGACATCTGAGGTGAATGCGGTGAACAGCCGTGAAGTTCACCAGGCAATACAAATGTAGGCACTTTAAGGTATTTTTGCGGTGGAAGAAATGCAGCCGTGACTGCCAAAATAGAAATGGCACGCACGCACCCCGCTCCCTGCAAATGACAGGGAGTGAGAGACAAGAGGCCCTGCAACCATAAACAACCATCATTCTCCATCTTTGTCTGGTTGCCTCACTCGCTCGGCCTTCCTTTAATTTATCACCCTCACTCTTGTCTGTGTTTGCTTTGTTGCATACGAAGCCCAAACAGCTGTGCAGCGTGCACCCCTGGGACAGTTGTGGCCTTGCTCTGCACTGGAATCTGTCAATCTCCCAAGAGTTCCCAGTCTTCTAGTCTGCTGCTCTGTTGGTGTACAGGCCTTTAACTTTCTTCTGCTGCCTTTCTTCTGTGTTTATGTTTTCTTTATCTTTATTGTGCCTCTTGGGTGATGGATGAGAATGTGATTTGTGGTAAAGCTTAAAGACTTTACTCACATATATGAGCCATATGTGACATCAGGCTTCAGTGGAGCACGACATATGAAAGCATAAAGACCAACACAGATTCTGATGACTGTGACAGTCAGGACATTTATGAGCTGCTTTACTGGCGCTAGTCTGTCCCAGTAGGAGACCCCCCCCCCCCCCCCCCCTTACCATTATAGGCAGAAAACATGCACACAGTTTATGTTGTGGGCCACATACGGCCCACTTTGATCTCAAGTGGGCCGTAAAGATGTTTAACTAAACATTAAACCCTTAAAATATCTTACGATAAGAAAAAGAAGTACAATTTTGACAGCATGTCTCAGTTTTTTAT